AAGTGGAGCTCCTTAGTGATTTTATGCAGAATGGTAAAAGTAGATGAGGTGCAGTGCAATTTGTGCCCTGCCTCCTTAGTCAATCTTGTATTCCCTTCAGAAGAATTCTCTCCTATTCTTAGGGAATTAGGAAAGGTGAGTAGGATCAGCTTTACTGCCGTTAGGACTTGCTCTCTGTGTCTGATGAAGTTAGTGTATGTCAAATGAGGAAAGTGTGCTAATTCACTCCTTATATTACTGAGAAAAGAACACTGAACAAATACAGCATTTACAGCACCAAGCTGTGCTGCTTTTGTTGTTAGTTGGATGCTATAGGAAAAGATCAGCAGTGAACATCACGTGTTGCTAAGCTCTGAAAAGGACACATGTGATTTCAGTACTTGTGGTTTTTAAATTGGTGTCTCAATTCTTCTGTGCCTTGGAATCTAAAATGGCCCCACAAACATGTGCTGTTTTGTTCCAGAAAGGCAGAGACTGTCATCTCTGTGTTAGACACAAAGGAAGAAATTTAGCACTGGGAGATTTTTTCTGTAATTGCTGTTCCAAGTTCATAAATGCATGCTTTGTTCTACACACTGATTCAGTTGTTAAATTCAGTGCATTGTTTTGCTTATCTTTAAGAACTGGAACTCTAGAATTACTAAAAGATTAAAAGTTCGACACTGGGTTTTGAAAGTGTTTTTGGAAGTAATTTCTTTATATTGCTTTGACTTTTCTGAAATAGTTTAAAAAGAACTCTGTTTTCCTTAGCAGTAATTTGTAGGCAATTATGGCAGAGGGAAAACAACATGCATTATGTGTGGGAGTAATGAAGATGTCAGCTGAGGACATGTAAGTGTTTTAAAAGCTGAAATATAACCTGTCCCATGTTATTATTCTTGTGTTAGTTTGGAGTGTAAGCACCACTGTCAAGGTTACTGCACTGCTGTTGCAGCATGTGTTGAGTACAGAGTACCTCCTGGGCTAGGCAAGAGGTGTAATTTGGATTTGAGAGGATTGAAAACATCGAAGAGATTTTTGTCTGCAGAAACTCAAGTCCTGCTGGATCTTGGTTGCCTGCCCAGGCTGTTTTTTCTCTGTGGCCTGCTCTTTTTCGTCAGGGTGTACCCACAGCAGCCCAGCACTCCTGCTTGATGTGCTGACTAACTCAGCTGAGCCTCTTGTGAAATTTAGAGTTCTGCTCGGGATAAACAGAAAACTGTTTGAGAAGGAAAAGAGAGACAGAAAATTGAAATGGATGTTAGTTGTTCTTGGCTTTCAGATAGTGCTAAATCATAAGTAGCTAAATCACTTTGTCATTTTAAGTTCTAGTAACATCTTGTAGGATGTGAGGTGCACTCAGCTGATTTGGTTTCCAGACCTGTCACCTGGGGGCAGAGAGGAAGCTTTTTTTGGTGAAAACAAGTTACTCTCTTTTGTTGGGTAATTGTCAACAAGCCTGTCCTAAGTCATAATAATAGCACGAGGCAGAGAGGGGGGAATGTCTTGGAGGACAGGGATGGAGAGGGACTGCAGAAACCTGGATTTGGACCTGCTGTAGCTGTTGAGGAGTTCTATTCTTCAGGATTCTTTGTGGTGCTTCAAAGGACTCCAAGAGCAAGTAGAAAGAAAAGCTACCTGTGTCCCAGTCCTAAGAGAGCAGTGACACACTGTGATCATTGCAAACCAAGGTCCTTTGCATACCTACCTTCAAATCCACCGGCCTTGCAGCTGAATATCCTGTTCCTGGGAGAAGCAACATGAACTGGAGAGGAAGATGAAGTGATACTCCTCTCTGCAGCCTGTTAGCTGCTTTTTTTGTGTGACATTGTTCCACAATTTTCTGGTTTAGGCAGTGGGATTTCAATTTCAATCTCTTGGTGTAATTACTACATACAATGTGTTAATACTGTGTTAGCAGCATTTCCCTTGCTGATACTTTTGGACAGATTGTGTAGGTAACAGAACACTTGGTGTAAATAGAGTAAATTATATTATCCAGGGGAATGAAACTTGTTCTCACTCCCAAAAAGAGATTTGTTTTGTTTATTGTGGCAAAACTAGTTCATTGGTGTTTTTTTTTAAACTGGAAAAATAGACAGAAGCCAGTAATTTTTAAAAGATGGCATGATTCAAAAGATAGTCAATACTATGGAGGATAGCATGTCTCTAACAAGCTGAAAGTCCTTGGCACATAAATTTAGCATTTTTAATTCTTTATGAAGTGGGTAGATGATCTGCAACTAGAAGTGAGGCCGCTCACCTGCATGTGATTGTGTCATTGGCACACTTGGAACCAGGACTTGTTAGATTCTGCATTCCAGTCATCTTGTACCACATCCTGTGCTTGGATTGGAGGTGCTGTGCTACTTTGATGGAGAAATGGTAATATGGAGAAAAGTAGCAGAAGTGTTGTCTGAAGAACTGTGTCCCACAAAGAAACTGTGGAAAGCTGTTGAAAAGACGTGGAAGGCAAATATTGTCCTCTTATCAGTCAGCAATGTGGGCACATGTAATAACAAATATTGTTTCTTGTCCACCTGCTGTGGAAGATAATGACTTTGTGATTGGTAGCTTTCCCCTTCCAGTTGACAAATGTTGCAGTTTCTACTTGAAATAATGTATTTTGTAGTGCTCTCATGTTTAACCTAGCTAACACTGCTGTGTGTTTTTCCTCCTACAGTGAGAAGGTCAACAAAGGGATTGGTATTGAGAATATCCACTATTTAAATGATGGCCTTTGGCATATGAAGACATACAAGTGAAACAACAGGAACTGTTACTCCAAAGGAATGCACTTAGATTAAATGTGGACTGCTTTGTAATTCCTTGTTTTTAATGTGACTGAATGTACAAATTATTTTGTTCTGTGGCTATGCTAAATAAATCAGTTGAATGCAAAAGTACTGTTAGGCTACAATAGTTTTCTAGATTTCTTTTTATTACAGTTACTTTGTTTTGTCTTAAACCTGAGTCTTCAGTGACTGAAGATATTTGTTGAAAGATTCTGCATGGACTGTGAGTAGACTATTTCAAATGGAAAGGAGGAAAAAGCCAAGAAATGTTTACATTTTTGTGCTCTTCTAAAAGCATAATATAAAGTGTGTGTGAAATATAAATATGGTTTACAAAACCTCTGAAGCATTTCAGATTTTTTCTTGACATCTTGTTAGTCTACCTAGTTTCTTGAATGTGGAGAAATCAGGTTTTTTGACATTATTTTTTAACTTATTAAGAGCATTAACTTCATTTTACTTTTACTTAAGGATTTTCTCTTTTTAATACGCATTTATCTGTATAGGATTTATGAACTCAGCCTGATATGTGCATTAGAAATTCTTTTATGGTGGCTCATACCTGAAGACTGTCTGTATGTTCAGATTTCTACCTGCCAACACTTTGATACTGCTCTCCTTCTGGAGGAGTTTGTAGTTCTGGTGGGCACACTGCCAGTGAAGTGTGTGCCACCCTGGTGCCTGATGCTCTCTACTCCCTGTGTGCCGCCTTATTTTAGGAGCAGAAACCAAGTCACTGTTAAATAAAGGCATGACAGCAAAACATGTTTTTCAGTATAGCCAGGAGCAACTTTTTCAGGTGGAACTTGAAGAGCTCCCAGCTTGTGCCCACTGCCACATGTCTGTACAGCTACAGAAGGGGTTCAGGAGCACTGTGTGTCTGTCTGGATAACCCAGTCCTTTGTTCAGCATACCCAAAGCTATGCCTATGGAAAAATGGAATACTGTAATAAATTAAGGAAACTTTTAAGGTCTACCACTCATAACTGTCTCTGGAAGCATTTATTAATATTTCAAGTCTTAAACACATGCATTTTACAGCAGCAGAACGTAACTTGGTGTGCCAGTGCCTTGTGGTCCTGTTCTGCAGGCTTGGTTTCCCCACCCTGGACCTTTACAGATGATAATAGCCAAGGTGTTCTCCAGCTGATTCTAAAGCCAAGTTAAATCATGGCAGAAGGAATGCTGCTTTTAAAATTCTGTAAAATTACATACAAGACTCTACTTCTGAAAATGACAGGGTAAATCTGAAATGATCAATGTAGGAAGACAAAATGTAAGCAGTGTTGCAGAAAGAGTTCTGATCATTCCTCAGAATTTCAGAATGCTGGTGAGCATTTTCTTAAAGATTTCATTGTAAATGTATTGACTTCTGGTACTATGGGAAATCACTTAATGTTTCAGTGTTGGTGGGGGTTTTTTGTTGTAAAATGAGCTAGTCTTGCTTTTTGTGGTTTTCTTCCATCTTATCTCTTCCTGTTGTCCTACAGCACCTCAAATCTGTGACAATAAGATTTTTTTCTTGTTGGAATTGTTCACTCTCATTCTCCAATGACTGCTGTTGCTGCAGGGGGGTCAGAATTGTTTTTAATAATCAGAAACACTGAAAGTTTTGCTTGCTTTATCTGGTTTTGTCGAAGTTTTTGCAGCTGTATTATTCTGTAAGGAGGTACAAGTCAAATAAGGCTGAATTTATAAACCAGATTAGCAAAACATCAAAAGTACAAGTTTTACCTGGGTTTTGGCAGCAATTGTGTTGCTGTCAGCTGAGCTCTGACTGATAAGGGGATGAGCAGGTGCATCTTGTCTCACCTTTCAGAAAGCAGCTGATCTGTGGGAGCCTGTATGGGGGTCTGAGCAGTTGTCTTGTCAAAAACCTGATGCTTAAAACAAAAAACCCAAGATGTGGATATTCTCATCAACTCTGAAGCTGCTGTTTCACTTCCCCACCTGCCCACTTGCAGCTCAGGGCAGGGTGTTACAACTGGCTGGTTAAAGCTGAGAGAACAGTCTGCTCCTGTTTTATGAATATTGTAGTACCAACAAAGCCTGTGACAATCACAGATGTAACAGATGGATGTTACACCTTCCTCAAGTCTTGAAACACCCATGTCAGGTCACTGAATTCTAAATGGAGTAAGTACTGAAGTGCTCTTTGTTTACACAGGCTGTGGATGGATAGGAGTGTGACCCAGAAACTTGTGTAAAACTGAGTGCCCTCTATTGTTAAAAAAAAAAAAAAAGAGCATGAAAAACCCCAAACCAAACATCAGATTGTACTGACAATTAACCAAATTCTTCCTTGTCAACACTATTAGCATCCACTAACAGGAGTAAAAATAATACTGAACCTTTATTCTAACATGCTTATAGATGGAGTGAAATTTTAAATGAGCAATTAATCTTGTGCTAACAGACTCCCTGACCATGTTAATACCTATGCAAATACAGTTTATCTTTTTCTTTTGTCTGCTTAGAAACAGTAGTCCAAAGGGCACTTGATATTACTCTGCTGCAAGATTTCTTGTCACCTTGCTTCCTGCTGTTAGAAGGCTGTATATGAGGTGGAAGTTGCTGTATAAGCTCAAGATATTGAGTGTGTATTGAGGGTAAAAGAAATAGCTTAAAGTTACAGTCTTTGAGACTGAATCTGTAGTCAGTTTTATTGGTACAACTTAGAAAGGTATAAAGACATTCTAGAAATGCCTGGAAGAACTGAAATAATCAAAGTCTTGCAAAAATATATTTTTAAGAGTAGACTAAAGTCCATTTCATTTTCATTAATAAATATTTACATGTACAAACCCCCCCTATAAACTTAATTTCCTTTTATAATAAACATTAACATCTTTTTATAATTTCATTCCAGCACTGTCAAAAGCATTTCTCTATAAAAGATTTAGAAAAAAATTCTCCTTCCACTTTTAAAATGAAGAGCTTTCCCAACCCTCAGTGTGCAAAAGAACCTGTACACCAGTACCAGAACGTGTCAGTACAACTGTGTGTTGTGAGAAGAGCCAACGCCATGCTCCAAGCCTTCCCCGAGGCCCCGTCAGTCATTGTCGGAGCCCGGAGGGGGCAGGAACACCAGGGCGTCGCGGTAGGAGTGCCCGTAGGGCCGCAGCCGGTACACGCCGTACATCATCACGTGCATGTGGTTGGGGGCCAGCCCGCTGAAGGTGATGGCCATGTCGGAGCAGCAGCCGTCCACCACCTGCTGCGGGTGCGTGGACATGGCCTCCTTGATGAGCGCCCCCACGGATTTAGTGTTGAAGACGTCTTTCCCTTCGGAATCTTCGGCGTTTTCGGCAAACACGCCACCGTACTTCAGGCAGATGGCCAGCTGTTTGTCCTCTGCCAGTTTCCAAATCATACCTCCCTGCTCTGGGCACTTGTCAGGGTCTTCGAGAACACGGGAGAGGCGTCTCAGCGACTCAATGCTTAACACGATCCCTCCCTCGCCATCTACATACTCAAGGTCACCAGATTTCACAGTGTGGCCTATGTAAAAAGGCTGAGAGGGGTCTTTTTTCAATAAGAAATACTTGAGATTTTCAATTATAGCAAATGTTGTTGGATATGCAAGGAAGAACCAGCTGAATTCATCCTTATAGCGTTCGTACGCGATCTTGTAAGCTTTGCGCATCATTGCCCACATATCATTTGTGTTGACGGCCACAGAATCGAACACTTTGACCTTTTCTGAGCTGTAGAATTCTGCCTTGTCACAGTGCTTGCTCCAGGTCTCCCTTGCTGCAGCCCAGTGCCCCAGATCTTTTGGTTTGACAAGGATTATACAGTACACATTGATGTTTTTACTAAGCTCCACACGTTCCCCTTCTGAGAGGTTTAAGACATCTTCCTTGTTGGGAGCTTGGATGTGATGATGCTCGTGGTGATGTGCCTTGGTCCCATGGCCCACCTTAATGTGTCCGAGGAGCGTAACCAACATGCAGAAGACTCCTCCAAGCACCACACCCTTGATGAAGGAGCTGCTTTCAGAAATCATTTTTCCTAGAAAAGAGACGCACTGTAAGAACTCACAGGAATAAGTGCACTAGTGCAGGTTCCATACGGTTCTAATGCAGTCCGCAATCTCTAAACCCCGCTGCAGTTCCCTTATCTCCCGCACCGGGACGAGGCTGGTGAAAGCTGTGGCGATATCCAGGTTCCCGGTCGCAGCTCTCGGTAACGGTACGACACGAGCTCTGTGC